CTGGAGGGCTGGCCCAGTCATATGAAGAACTGATAGAGTGAATAAATGTCAGTTATCACAACATTGTATCATATGGGTATCTACTATGTTTTATGTATCAGATATATATCTATGATTATACATCATACACATTTACATATCATTTATTTTAAGAGAAAGTGTAGGAGGTACAACCTTGCTGGAAGAAGTATGTCACTGGGGATGGGCTCGGAAAGATTATATCCTTGCACCACTTCCAATTTGCACTTTCTGATTCATGATTGCCATAGATGATGTGAGCTCTCAGCATCCTGTCCCTGCCACTGTGCCTGTCAACTGCTGCTATGCTGCCCTGCCATGCCAGACTGTTATTCCCCTGGAACAATAAACAAAAATAGGCACTGTCCTCCTTCAGCTGCCTTTGATTATGTTTTTTTTTTTTTTTTTTTTTTGTTTTGTTTTGGTTTTTTCGAGACAGGGTTTCTCTGTATAGCCCGGGCTGTCCTGGAACTCACTCTGTAGACCAGGCTGGCCTCGAACTCAGAAATCCGCCTGCCTCTGCCTCCCGAGTGCTGGGATTAAAGGCGTGCGCCACCACCGCCCGGCTTGATTATGTTTTTGTATTTGTTTTTGTTTGTTTGTTTGTCTGTTTAATCACAGCAACAGAAAAGTAACTAATATAGAAGTTGGTACTAGGAATGGGGTTTTTCTTCAAAGAACTTGACCATGTTGGATTCTGGAATACGGAAGACTTTGGAACTTTGACTTAGAAAAGTGGCTGAATGCAGTAAGAAGCGCTTAAAGAGCCATTCGAGTCAGGCCCTGTAAGACAGCAGTACGAAGAGCAATTTAGATTGTAGAGGCCCAGCTGAAGAGATTTCAGAGGGTACAATAATGCCAACTGGGCAGAAGACATTTTTAGATAGTTTTTACAAAAAAAAAAAAATCTAGCTGTCTTCTCCCTTTGTCCTAAAAAGTTGTCGGAGGTTAAACTTTAAAGTAACAGGCTTATTTTTCTAGTGGAGGAAATTTTGAGAGAAGATAATACTGAATCTGTGCATGGTTGTGACTGATAACACTAATGCAGGTCTACAGTGGAAAAGAGCAAGTAGGGCAAAAGTAATTTCAAAACGTACGGTTTAGACAGGAACACTGGGAAGTCTAAGGTAGCCAGGGTTTGTGCTAGAAGAGAGGCTGTACTTGGTTTTTGTTTGTTTGATTCTGGTTTTTCAAGACAAGTTTTTCTGTGTAGCCCTGGATCTTCTGGAACTCACTCTTTAGACAGGGCAGACATTGAACCCACAGAGATTCACCTGTTTCTGCCTCCTGAGTGCTGAGATTAAAGTGTGTGCCATCACCACCTGTTTGAATCATAATTGTTGAGGAGTGCCATTAAGGAGAGGACCACTCTGCCCTGGAACAAAGAGACGAGTGCCTTTAGGACAAGACCTTACCCAGCTAAGCTTCCAACTAATGCGTTTTCTGTTCCTAAAAAGCAATTTAAAACAAGCAAGCAAGCAAGCAAGCAAGCAAACAACCAACCAATGTCTGCTAGTGTGACCCAGGCCAATCCTGGCAGTTGTCCCTGTGGGACTACCTGTAGCATATGAAGGATGCATGTGTAAAGGGGTCATGAATTCTTTTTCTTTTTTTTTTTTAACGAGCCAAATTTTTATTTATTTCTTGCATTTGAAGTATTCCTCGATGACATCCTTGGCCTGAGATTCTTTGCCATAGTCCTTAACCACTACACAACTGCAACCAACCACTTTCCGTGGCTTCCCTTCTCGATCGATTTTACAGAGGCCCACCCATTCCCCTAGTTTCTTGTTGTCGTCAACCTTTATCAGGTTGATTTGGTGCTCGGCACAAAGTGCCTCCACCAGCTTGACATACATGGGCTCATCACAGTTGGATGCAAGCACACAGAGATGGGCTTGGCGCTTGTCTAAGGCTTTGGCAGCTTCGCGTATGCCACGTGCTAGGCCATCGTGGATGAGGGCGGTCTTCAGCACCTCTTGTAGAGCAGTGTTGACGTCCATTACACCTCCAGCAGCTATGCCTTCCTCGGCCATGGCGGTGGATTACGAGTATCGCCGAATCTTGAATGCACCCGAGCTTCCGCCTCCGCGCAAGTTGGCGGCGGCAGAGAAAAAGATGAATTCTTTTTTTAATTCTTAATTTTTATTCAGTATGAACGGATGTTTTGCATGCACATATGTCTGTGCACTACGTGTGTGGCTGGTGCCTACAGAGTTCAGAGAGAGCCCTGGATCCCATGGAAAAAGAGTTACAAACAGTTGTGAAATGCCATGTGTGCTGAGAATTGGGTCCGCTGGAATAGCAGCAAATGTTCCTGAGTGCTGAGCCGTCTCTCCATTCCCAGGGATCATGAATTCTTACTCAGTAGTTTCAGAGAGACAGGGTGGCTGGGCAACATATGACAAGGAATTTCCTACAAGGGGGCAGAGAAAAACCATTGTGTGACGCTATAAAAGTGAAGCCTGGGTCACAGGGGAGACCTCGAGATGTTGGAGATCCAGCTGTGGGACATCTACGAGGAGAGCTGCGGACAGGGAGTCTGACCGGCCCAACGGAGAGACACATGTTGCAGGCAACAACACTGGAGGGGCAAAACAATCTAAGTTCCTTAAACCTTTAGTCTGAGACACTGGGTATTGAACTACAGGTTTGGATGTTTTCCCTGCTGAGTGAGAGTTTTGCTTTGGCCTAATATTTTCTCACTATGCCAAATTCTTCTTTTTTGCAATAGTAGAGTGTGTTCGGTGCCATTATATGTTGGAAGTTTGTAATTTGCTTTTTGATTTTGCAGGGGACTAATTAAGAAATTGCCTTGAGTCTTGGAAGAGACTTTGGACTTTTAAACACTGGTGAGACTATGAAAGATTGTGGCGTCTTTTGAAGTTGGATTAAATGTATTTTGCATTATAATGTGTTTAAGAGGGCCAGGGAGTAGAATACTGTGGTTTGAATGAAGAACATCCCCCATATGCTCAGGCATTTGAACACTTGGTCCCAGTTGGTCCTGTTGCTCGAGGGAGGTTTAGGAGGTGCAACCTGATGAAGCAGTATGGAGGAAGGCTGTGGGAGATTGCGATCTTTCTCTACTCTCTTCTCTCTGCTTCATGCTTGCCTTTGAAGATGTGAGCTCTCAGCTTCCTGTCCCTGCAGCCATGCCAGCCAACTGGTGCCTATCAAGGATTCTTAACCTTCTGGAGCCGCATGGCAATTTTAATGATAAATGTCCCATGTGGGTTTGGGGATTTGTCTTAGCTACTGTTCTATGCAGTGAAGAGGCACCATGACCAAGACAAGTTATAGAGGAAAACATTTAGTTGGGCCTTGCTTAGAGTTTCTGAGGATTAGTCTATGATCATCATGGCGAGCATCGGGTAGTGTAGCAGCAGGCATGGTGCTGGAGCAGTAGCTGGGGCCTCACTTCTGATCTGTAAGTTGGAGGTAGATACACAGCAAGGGTGGTCCTGGCATGGGCTTTTGACACCTCAACATCTGCCCCAGCTCCAATGACATGTCTCCAACACCACACTTTCTAATCCTTCCCAAACAGTTTCTCCAACTGGGAACTAGATGTTCAAATATATGAGCCCAAATATATGGGGCTTCTCATGCAAGCTACCAAAATATTTGCCCACTTAATTTTCAGTTGATTGCACTGTTTGGGGGAGGTTTAGGGAACATGGCTTGCTTAGAGAAAGTATGTCACTGGAGGTGGGCTTTGAGAGTTTAAAGACTTGTCCATTTCTAGTTCATTCTTTGCTCTGTGCCTGAGATTCAAGATGTGAACTCTCAGGTTCTGCTCCAGTTGTATTGTTGCCATACTTCTCAGCCATGCTGGCCCCTTACCTCTCAGCCATGCCGGCCCCTTACCTCTCAGCCATGCCGGCCCCTTACCTCTCAGCCATGCCGGCCCCTTACCTCTCAGCCATGCCGGCCCCTTACCTCTCAGCCATGCCGGACCCTTACCTCTCAGCCATGCCGGCCCCTTACCTCTCAGCCATGCTGGCCCCTTACATCTCAGCCATGCTGGACCCTTACCTCTCAGCCATGCCGGCCCCTTACCTCTCAGCCATGCTGGCCCCTTACATCTCAGCCATGCCGGCCCCTTACCTCTCAGCCATGCTGGACACTTACATCTCAGCCATGCTGGACCCTTATCCATCTGAACTGTAAGCTAAAGTAGACTCTATTCTGTGAGTTGCTTCTGGTCATGGAATTTTATCACAGTAATGGAAAAGTAACTAATGCATCAGGTTTTGGGGGATGAAGGCATGAATCAATGAAGAGATTGTGGAAGGAATTTCCCCTGGGAAGTAAAGGGGCTCACTGCAGGGTGCTCTGAGCCCAGCAGTGCTGGGCAGAGAAGACTCAGTTCTGGGGCATCCATGGCTCACCCTGGCTCTGAAGGCCAAGCCTTTCTTGCAGACTTTCTGCAGTCAGGCCAGCATGCCAAGCCTGTTTCTTCAGTGGTGGACTGCGGATTAAACCTTGGCCTGTAGGCCGGGCGGTGGTGGCGCACGCCTTTAATCCCAGCACTTGGGAGGCAGAGGCAGGCGGATTTCTGAGTTCGAGGCCAGCCTGGTCTACAGAGTGAGTTCCAGGACAGCCAGGGCTACACAGAGAAACCCTGTCTCGAAAAACCAAAAAAAAAAAAAAAAAAAAAACCTTGGCCTGTATTTGTGTTTATAGGGAAGATGATGTTAACACCTACTTTGATACCTTGACAAGTGTTACAGAGATCAACAAAAGGGACTCCAAAAGAAATTTTATTATGTTGGGAGAGATTCCCTGTGCTGTGTCAGCTCCCACTGTCAATGGAAGCTGTCACTCTTCTGGCTCCTTTCGTGTATCTCTCAGGCAGCAAGTGGATCCCTCTGGCCTAAAGCCCTTAAGGTTTCAGGGATAGCATCCTTCCAAATCCCAGACTGGAATGGTGATCCACCTATCTTCTGCCTACAGAGGGGGTAGAACTCTGGGGGGCCTACATCCACCCATATGACAGCTGGGAGCCAGATCACAGATGAGTGACATCATTCAACAACATGCCCTGTTACTGAATGCTTCTATTACTGTTGGGATTATCTTCAAGGGACAGAATGGTGAGCCCAGAAAGGAAGGTATCAGTGGTTGTCGGGCTGAGGGAAGACTAATCTCAGAGCATCCAGGGCAGGGCATGGGCCAGGCCTGTTCAGGATTATCAAGGGCCTATAGCTACTTGGGTCTTTTGCTTGCCCTTCTGTGGCTTCTTGGATTGAAAGACTTGCCAGGAGGGAGAAGCTGGCATCTTGCTTTTGAATGGGGATGACATATTCAGAAGGACTTTGGCTACAGCATCTTCCATCCTGTCCTGGACTCCAGGGCCTCAGAAGACACTGCTTTATCCCTTCAGAGGCTGAGATGTGTGCCTCATTTTGAATATATGATGTCCAGATCTGGCTTTGATGCCTTCACAGCTTGAAGGTCCCTCCGTGAGTTTTCAGTCAGCTCCACAGAGGTCAGACTGCAGCCACATGCATAAGACAGAAGGGACAGATCAAGGGTCAATAGGGGCAAAGGTCAATAGGCTGGGGGAGAACCCAGGCTTGAGGTGAGAGTGGAGTGGTTGGAGCTGCCTGCTTAGGATTTAACAAGTCCCAGAAGACAGTCAGCTGGAATCTATTAAAAGTGAAGGCTCCTTGAGGGAATATAGGAGAGGGCTCTGCTTAGACTGTCTCCATAGCTTAGGGATATTTGTTTGAGACCCAGAACCCTGGATAGGCCTGCAGAAGGTAAGTCTTTATAGCTGGGCACCCAGATCTGTGTGTGAGTTCAATTATGTTTGAGGTCTCAGAGGAGACTCCTAAGCACCTACTTCCACCTAGAGTTCACAGGCTATGTCCTCAGTACCATGCCTCCCCCTGCATTTACCTGAGGGTCTTTAGGCAGCATTTAGGGTGCTTCAGGGCTGAACAGAGAGGTTCCACCATGGGGCCAGGCAGCTGACAGCCACTGAGGTCCAGAGTGGTCAGGACTGGGCTTTGCTGGAGCACGATGACCAGGTAATGGATCACCTGTTGGAGGCCAGGCAGCTGCATCCTGTGGGGAGAGCCAACCTCAGGGGTTGCTGGAAGTTTGGTTCCCTACCGCTATCCCCTTAAAACCAGGCTTCACCTGAGTGTCTGCACCTGGCACTTGGGCCAAGCCAGGCCTTCGATCAGTAAACGCAGACCTGTGTCAGTGAGCCGGATCCAGAGGAGGCCCAGCTCCCTTAGAGCAGGAGCTATCTTCAGGGCCTCAGAAAGGTCTCGACAAACTGCATCAGGGAGTTTGCAATGTGACAAGCTGTGGTCAAGAAGCATGTAGATTGTTGTAAGACTGGCCACTTCGCTATGTCCAGTTGTACAAACTACCTATTCTCTGGTAGGCCTGATAGTCAAGAAATCTACAGTTCTTCATAATTTGGTTTGGATGGGCTGTCAGTCATTCCGGTGGCTGAGCTGTCATCCCCAGTGGCTGGGCAGTCATCCCTAATGGCTGAGTTGTCATCCCCAGTGGCTGAGCAGTCATCCCCAGTGGCTGAGCTGTCATCCCCAGTAGCTGAGCAGTCATCCCCAGTGGCTCAACAGTCATCCTCAGTGGCTAAGCAGTCATCCCCAGTGTCTGAGCTGTCATTCCCAGTAGCTGAGCTGTCATCCCTAGTGGCAAAACAGTCATCCCCAGTGTCTGAGCAGTTATCCCCAGTGTCTGAGCAGTCATTCCCAGTGTCTGAGCAGTCATCCCCAGTGTCTGAGCAGTCATCCCCAGTGTCTGAGCTGTCATCCCCAGTGTCTGAGCAGTCATCCCCAGTGTCTGAGCAGTCATCCCCAGTGGCTAAGCAGTCATCCCCAGTGGCTGAGAAGTCATCCCCAGTGTCTGAGCAGTCATCCCCAGTGGCTGAGCAGTCATCCCCAGTGGAGATGACTAGCCTTCTCTAGGGGGCAAATTTCATCTGTGTACAGGCCATCCAGCTGTAAATCCCCTCCACATTGGCTCATGGTGACTCACATCAGGATACTCAGACCACACTGTGGGGTAGTCACAGTCTCACAGAGTGGACGCAGCAAGGAGACAGGGGGTTGTTTCTTGGTGCTTTGAGAACTGTAGGCAGAGAAAGAACAAGGTTGACATCTGTAGCACTCCTTCCAGGCCTTTCTAGAAAGCTCCCAATCCTTCCTACCTAAAGACCTAAGGTCCCATGGCTATCATTTATCCCTCATCCCTCGCATCCCCGCCCCAACAAATTTAAACAAAACCCAAGTGTGGGCTGCAGGTCCCTAGGACCAGGTCCTGCCATTATCCTTGTGTATCCTCTCAACAGCGGGTGAGCTATGGGACAAGTATTGAGTAGATCTGAGTTCATAGGAAGCAAATGCCCATGTTGGTATAGGAAGCTAGAGTCAGGTGGAGGATGGGCAGGGAAGAGGATTTGGAATAGTGTGGTCAATGAAGGTACCTTCGGGCCAGCAGTTGGGCCCAAGTGGTGGAGCCAGAGTAGGCTTTGAAGACAGACAGCAAATAGTGTTGGGAATGGAGGAAACAGCAGGTACAAGGCTCAGCACACAGAGGACATGGCATATTCCAGAATGTATAAGACAGTGAGTGTATTATAGAGGGGCTAGGCTGCTTTGTGGAACTACATTGGCTGAGCTTGGAGGGTGGCCTTGATCTGGATGATTGAGAGTAGGCATAGTGAAGTCACTTGATGAGAAATTATAGACAGCTGCCTTGGCAAGGGTTGGTAAAGCAGTCCTGAGGTCCTCTCTCTCTGCCATCTGGATTGTCAGGTGTGGAATGCTTCTCAGCCCAATGGACATGGATGTGTGGGCACAAATAACACCGGTGAGGACAGCCTTACCCTGTTGACTTCAGCCGCTTCAACAGACCCTTCTTTTTCTTCTTCTCCTTTGCCTCCACCAGCCCACAGCGCACCAGTCTCAGAGCCTGACCATCTGGGCAGCACTTCACACAGTAGCTCAGAACCTCAAGGTCCATGCGGGTCAACCTAATTCGCTCCAGTACTATCTCTGGAAGTTTGCTGAGAGCCTGGCGAACAAAATCCTCCTCCTGTGTCTCATACAGGCAGTACAACAGCTCCAGTCCAAAATTGAGATCTTCATCCTCCTCCTCCTCCTCTGCTTCCTCTGTGTCCTCTAGCTCATCATTCTTATTTGCTCCTACTGGTACCCCCTTGTGGTGGCTCTGTTTTTGTACCCACTGTAGGGTGTCCTTTTTCACATGCTCTGGCACCACACAGCCAAAATGCTTTCCAATGTCACCAATCCTGTCCTTACTTAGCAGGCCAAAGAGGAATCGAGTAGTGAGTGCAAGATGACCACGCAGCTCCGCGTCAGAGTTCAGGAGCTTCTGCACACCTCCTGCAGGGGTCCCTGGAGCTCGCTCAGCCTCTAGTAGGTATGACAATGCAGCCAAGAACTCCTGGAAGCTATGGTCAATGAACTGGTAGGTGACCATAGTTTCTAGGACTCCTGGCAGCTCCTTCTTGCTGAGAAATATTGTCTGAACTTGGGAATCCTGAAGCTTCAGTTCCTCCAGGTCCTTTTCTGAGAACTGTGCTTTATGATTCAGGATGCCCTCCCGGGCCAGGCGGCAGAGCATGTGCAGCTCTCCCTGAACCCGGGCTCCATTGGTGCCTGCAGACTTCAGCATGCTGATGACGAAGAGCAGGTACACAGAAGTAGTGGTCTTGGAGGTACGGGACAGATCCTGGCCCAGCTCCAGCTGCTGTTGCAGCACTGTGCACACGATCCAGCACACGAAGGGCACAAAGCACAGAGCAAATAGCGTCTCGTTATCTTTCACAAAGCGGTAAGCGCGCTCCGCTTTCCTCTCGTCCAGGAAGAACTTGAAGAAATACTTTTTCTTGTCTTTGTCTGAGAAGCCGCGAACTTCTGCGCACTGTGGCGAGCACAGTCTGCCCTGCAGCCTCCCGGGGTCAGCACTGCGTGTCGTGACAAGCAAGAGAGCAGATGGTAAGAGCTCCTTGCTCAGCAGCCCGCTGAGCACTCTCAAGCCACTTGTAGCCTCGAAAGGGTCTTTGCAGGGAGTGGCCTCTGGGCCTGATAAAGTAGGCAGCTCGTCTGCACCGTCCAGGATGAATAGTAGGCGATTGGGTTGTTCCAGCATCCACTTCACCGGCGCAGCCTGGTCCGGGCACTGGTCCAGGATCAGGTCTGCCAAACTGCGCGGATCCTGCTGCTCCAGCAGCTCTCCGCACGGCATGAAGAAGGCAAAGTCCACCTGGCTGTGGTATAGCTTGCCTGCTGCCCAGTCGTAGAGGATTTTCTTGGCGGCCATGGTTTTGCCTATGCCTGCCGGGCCCTGCAGCACCACGGTCATCGGATGCTGGCCCACGTCGTCATTTCCCCGGAAGAGCCTATTAAAAGTGTGCCTGTCCGAGCGCCTAGCGCGCTCGGGCTCCGGCTCCCCTGATGGTCCCAGCAGCTCGTCCTCTACAGCGCCTCTCCCTTGCGCGATGAGCAGCTTGGTGAAGCGCTTGTTGATCTTCACGGAGCGGGCATTCCTCTCTTTCACCTTAGCATGCTTTCGTTGTACGTGCTCACGGTATGTCTTCTTGTATTCTGCAAGGCACAAGATCGCGGAAGATAGGAATGGGCTTGACGCTACTCTGGAACCAATGCTCTGCCTCTCTAAATCTGGGCCCCCTTTCCTCTATTGTGCCATAGCTTCCTCCTCCAGCCATCTCACAGCCAAGGATCCCCAAGCAGTGCCCAGGAAAATTGGGGTCCATGAGGAGCCCAATAGGACCTTTCGATTGTGTGTCCCACCGAACTTACTTGAGAGAATCACGGAGGTGGAGCCGAGTCCTGGAAGGCAAACCGATGTGAGGCTTTCTTAGCACGAGGGATGGGGCAAGGCATTAGTGGGCGTTTCCCAGGGAACTCCCTCCCCGCCCCCGCCCCCCTCCCCCGCTTTCCTCTCTCCCCACCTCAGCCCGCGCAAGAAATTGATCTTCCCCAGAAGAGCAGTGAGGATCAAGGTCGAGCCCCTGGATTCGACCCCATCCTACTCTGCCCAGCTTACTCTGCAGCTGCTGCTCCTTGAGTCGCAATGCCACATCTCGAATATCCGACCTCTTCAGGACCTGTCGGGTCATTTCTATGGCTGGTATTGGCTCATAGAACTCCATCAGCTTGTCGACGAGGTCCACAGCATCTGAGCGCTCCAGTCGCCCCCATGGGATGCTGCGGCCATTCAGGGGTGCATCGCGTAGCTTGTGGCGAAAGCGCTTCAGTTGCTCCTGGCTCAGATCCTCCAGTGCAGCCAGAAGCAGCTCCCTTGCCACAGCCTCCTTGCTGCGGATGGGCAGGGTTGTCACTGATGCGACCTGAATAGGATCTGTCCCTGAACTTCCAAAGCACCCTGGGTCACACATCGCACATTCTCCACATGAAGCCCAGGACAATACATTGTAGAGACCCACGGAGTATTCCAAGGCTTCACCTCAAATTACCAACTGTGGTGAAGTGGGTCACTCCATGGCTAGTCTTCCTGTGTCTTTCCTTTCTGGCCATACCAGATAAAGCCAGATAGGGTCCCTACCCTACTTGGGTCTATGTTCTCCCTTGTCACATTCTCTGATAGGGCGCTAGCATGGCTGGACTCAGACAAGCCAGGCCCTGGTGGGGTTCCGGAATTCTCCGCTCCAAGCTCATACATAGCACACTTTGGTGAGTCCTTTCTGGATCACCTACACCAGGGGCTAAGTCTGAGTCCCTTGTGGGGAGCAGAGTCATAAATGCCCTGGTTTGTGGGGGTGGGTATAGAAGATGGACTTTGCATCCCAGCACAAGACAGGCTCTAGAGGTGAGCCCACTCAAGTTGAAAGTTCTCTCTGGAAACCACACTTACCTGGAGCAGGAGGCTCCAGCGGCATCCATGGAGTCTCAGGATCTAACTCTCAGGTGCAGAGGCTGGGGGCAGAGGTGATCCTTCCTGGGCTAAACTGGTCTCAGCCTGGGAGTGGGGGTGTTTCTCAGTCTTGTTCATTCTAGCTCCGCTGGACTCTTGCTGATAGTCAACAGGCTCCCACACTTAGGCACGGTTTGTAACATCATATATGTGCTGGACTAGTGACCTTTGGTTGTCTTCTATTTTATTCTATCAATACTCCTCCTACTGGGTGTGGCAGCCTATGCACCTGTGAGGTGATTCAGATTAAGTGGCTGGCTCACTCACAACCAGGCCTTCAGAAATGGCCTTAAGGTGCCTTAAATTTTGCAGACAGGGTGTGAAAGTCAAGGGGGCAGGTGCATGTGGGCAGGGATAAGGGTGGATAGAGAAGGGAACCAGGTCTTCAGTTCTGCAGCCAAGTAATCCTCCCACACCAGCTAAAGGGCAGAGATTGGATGTTTCTGACCCTACGACCTGCAAGTGACTACAGGGATATGGCGTTCCATGGTGTGGCACAGACGTGCATGTAAGCATGTGTGCATACCTCCACATGGCTGAGTTAACATTGTATTTAAGTGACTGCTTGTAGTAGACTAAATAAAGTCTGTGAAGACACAGTTCACACAGGCATGGCTGTGTTGCTCTGCAATGCAGTTATTTATTTATTTATTTTTATAAATTCTTGCAAACAAGCCTGCTTTGTTTCCTTGTCATCATTATTGAAGATAGAAAATGCGAAGCCAGGGCCAGTGAGACGGCTTATAGGGTAAAGGTGCTTGCCTGACACCTCGAGTTCCATCTCTGGAACCCACATAAAGGTGGAAAGAGAGAACCAGCTCCACAAAGTTGTCCTCTGACCTCCACACCCAAACTGTGGAATGCATACTCCCCTGTCCTCCAGCAACAAATGTTTCAGGTGTTGCGGTGAGCCTGGAGAGGTGACAACACTTAAGACTGTCTGTCTGTCTGTCAGGCAGAAACTAGACTCTGCTTTCCAGAACCCATGTTAAGTAGCTACCAACCACCTATGATTTCAGCTTCAGGTATCCAACTCCCTCTGCAGGTATTCACATACAAGTGTGTGTGTGTGTGTATCACACATGTCTAAATAAAAAGGAAGAAGGGAAGAAATACAAAGCCAAGCTGGTCTCGAATACACTACTCAACTGCTGTGTGACCTTGTACAGTTTGTTTAACCTGTATGCCCCTATTTCTTGTTCTGTGAAGTGAAACACTCACTCACAAGGGGTTGGAGAAATGGCTCAGCAGTTAAAACATTGACTGTTCTTCCAGGGGACCCAGGTTCAATTCCTAGTACCCACATGGCAGTTTAAAACTATCTATAAGTCCAGTTCCAGTAGGTCTGACACCCTCTTCTGGGCTGTGGAGACACCAGGAATGCACCTGGTGCACAGAAATACAGGCAAGCAAAATACACATACACATAAAATAAATTTTAAAAAAAGTAGAAACACTTATGGTATTCCTATTACATAGTTTGAAGTATAAGGTCTGGGGAATGGCTTAGCCTGTAAAGCAGTGCCATTGGAAGTCTGGTGTAAGCTTGAGGAACAGAGTTTGAATCCCTAGAACCCATTTTTTAAGGCATGGTAGCCCACAAGATACAAAGTGTAGTGGTGACAGTGGCTGGGTGGCTCTCCCTTGCTGTGCCTTAAAAACTGTGCTTTCTGGTCTACTGAGAATGCTGGGTTTCTAAACCTGACTCAGTTCTGAATCTACTTCACCTTCAGGAGCCCTTAGCATTGTCCTTCAAATGTTGTTCCCTGTTGTCAGAGAGACTAAGACTGCAGTGCCTGAGACTGAAGACCATCACCGCTTTGGCTCTTGGGCATCTGCCACAGGATGTCTGGGACCTGGGACTCCAAAGTTGTAGCTAACTCCTTATCTGCTTTAGAGGAACCTTCTGAACTTTGTGCCCCATGCATGTTCAGGATTGCTGGTAAGAGTTGTGGAAAGACTGTAGTCCAGTTCCAGGGGACACAACTGACCTTTCCTGACCTCTATGGGTACCAGGCACACACATACACATATAACCATACACATAAAATAATAATGATTTAAAACAGAAACTTGAAATGCAAAGGCAAATTAAGTTCAAGTAATTAAGAGAAAAAAGAAAATAATAAAAATCAGAACAGAAATAAATGAAACTGACAGTAAGAAATTAATAAAAATCAAGCTGGTTCTTTGGGAAGAATATCATAAAATTCTAGCCAAACAAAGGGGAAAAAAGGAGATAAGATATAAGTTACTAGTGTTAGAACTGGAGAAAGTTTATCACAATTGATTTCATGAATTATAGACTTTTCAGGGAGCACTCTCAGCAACCCTCTGTCTATAAATTTATCAAAATGGGCCAGTTTCCTCCTCTTCCTCCTCCTCCTCCTCCTCCTCCTCCTCCTCCTCCTCCTCCTCTTCCTCCTGCTATTCCTTCCCCTCCTCCTTCTCATTTTGAGATAGGGTCCACTATGAGCCCTGGTTGGCCTGGAACTTGCTATGTAGATCAGGCTGGCATTGAACACAAGAGATCCACCTCTCTCTCCCTCCCAAGGGCTAGAATTAAAGACATGTACCACCAAGCCCGGCTCTGTACCAATTTTTGGAAGAATAAAATCTTTCAAATCCATATAGGTGGTAGTTTGAATAAGGTGTCCTCTATAGTTTTTAGCTTTGACTGCTCAGCCCCCATTTGGCAGCCTTCTTTAGGCAGGATACTTAAGGGAGGAAGTATGTCACTGGGGATGGGTTTTAAGAACTATTTTGAGTTGACTCTCTTTGGTTGGTGCTTGCAGTTTAAAATGTGAGCTCTTAGTTCCCAGCTTCAGCTGCCATGTCTGCTACCTGCTGTCCCCAACATTATGGATCCATTATGGATTCTCTGGAACTATAAGACCCCAATAAACTCTTCTGTAAGTTGCCTTGGTCATGGTATTTTATCACAGCAATGGAAAAGTTACTAATATAGCTTTTATCTATAGATAAACAAAATCGGTCAATACTTTGTAACTGTCCAAACCTAAGCATAGGCTCCCAGTTTTTCTGATGAATTCTCTGAAACATTAGAAAAGTGAATAAGAATTCTCTAAATTCTGTGTGTGTGTAGGCGCATGCCTTTAGTCCCAGCACTCAGAAGGCAGAGGCAGGTAGATCTCTGTGACTTTGAGGCCAGCTTGGTCTACTGACAAAGTTCCAAGACAGCTAGAGCTGTTACACAGAGAAATCCTGCCTCACAAACCAAACCAAACCAAACCAAACCAAACCAAACCAAACCAAACCAAACCAAACCAAACCAAACCAAACCAAACAAACCAAAAACCCTAGGCCACTACCACCATCAACAAAAGAATTCTCTAAATATTAGAGAGGAAACATATCCTAAAGCTCCCAACTTTTAAAAGTTGCTTCTGCCTTACTATGCAAACCTAGCAGAGACCTCAAGACAAGGAAACTGTAGACCACTATCTTGTGGGAACACAGACACAGGTGCAGGTCTTCTGTTATGAAATAGTAAGTCAGATCCACCTTGTATAAATATAGTATGTATTACCATCAAGTAGGATTGTTTTCCTAGCAACAAAGATGGTTTAACATTCAGATATCCATTCAGTCCATTGCATCACGTGATGGTATCAATAGAGGCAGGAAAGAATTTGAAGCTGGAAGTGTAATCTCAGTTTTCAGGAAGCCGAAGGATAAAACAGAAAGTTTGAGGCCAGCCTTGGCTACATAGTAAAACTCTGTCCAAAACAAAGTGAAAACTTAAGAACTGTTCTTGACTTAAAAACAAAGAAATAAAAATTTCTTTTTAGTAGAGTAAGAATAAAAAGGACTTCGTCAACTTGGTGAAGGATATCTTCGAGACACTACAGTTAACATCATGCTTAATGTTGACAAACTGGAATATTCCCCTGTAACACTGAGAATAAGACAAGGTTTGTCTCTTACCTTCATACACCACAGTAAAACCATGTCTTTAAAAAGGAGGAGGAGGAGGAAGAAGAGGAGAAGGACCAAGCCTCATGCCAGTGCGGAAGAAGAGAGGAGAGGGACATGGCCACCCTTCCCTGTAGGGCACAACCAAGATTCACACAGGTTGCTTCTGCTTGTGACAGGCCAGAATCACTCCTGGCCTACCAGACATGTCCTAGCCTAAGTGTCACGAGTCTAGGTCCATCACAAGCCTGTCTTTACTAAATGAGTAAATTAGTAAAAATGAAATAAAATAAAGGACAACATCAGAAAAAAAGAAATCTGTTTCAACTCTGATGGGCCTTGAGGATAGTACACTGAGGACATAAACCAGACGTAGGTCAAGTTCTGTAGAATTATTCTACAAGTTTCCTGGAATCTTCAGATATATAGGAACAGAAAGTGAGCCTGGGTGCCAGGGGTTGGGAGGCCGGGGTGTAGGGTAAGTTCTTTTTTTTTTTTTTTATTGTAATATAGATCAATCTTTTTTTATAGGGTAAGTTCTTAATGGGGACAGAGTTCAGCTTTGGAAGACAGTGAGTTCTGAGGTGGGTGGTGGCAGTGGCCACACTGCACTGCGAATGCACTTTCATGACACTGAGCTGTGCACTTAGATGTGGGCAAGGTGGAGAAAGTGTGTTTTCATCTTATTTATATTTATTTGTGTGGGTGTTTGTGTGTCCATGTGAGTGTGATGGTGTGGGCACACAGCCCACAAAGGTCAGAGGATAACTTGCAGGAGTCAGTTTCCTCTGTGTACCGTGTGAGTTCTGGGGAGTGGATTCAGGTAATCAGACCGCAGCGGCCCTTACTCAGTGAGCCATCTTGCTGGCTCAGAAAGTGTATGTTTTGCTACTTTAAAAAAAATACGTAAGAGGGGCGTGGGGAGCTGGCTCAGTGGTTAAGAAAGAGCAAAGGCTGCTCTCACAGAGGACCCAGGTTCAGTTCCCAGAACCCACATGGTGGCTTGCAACTTCCTGTAACTACAGCTCCAGGG